AGGAAGCCAACTGGAAAAGCATCCAAAAAGCCAAAAAGCCAAAAAGCCACCTGCCGCAGCGGAACTGGCAATGCAGAGGATGCGAAAAGAGAGGAACTGTGAATGCAGATGATGCGAAATGAAAAGCCACGAAAGCCACAAAAAACCCACGTAAAAGCCACAAAAGCCAAAAAGCCGAAAAGCCACCGACCCTGAAAAACAAAAATAATTCCTAAAAAATTCTTTAAAAAAATGGCCCTCCATTTAAAACTGCACAAAGTGACTGCGACGGTGGCCTCTGTAGACTAAACCCCCTTACTAGGAATTTTGACCGGATCGCATATGTGTTTTATCAGAACAATCGCATGCTTTCACCTGGAACACAAACATGTGCTGACGTGGAACACACTCATGTGGTCACATGCAAAAAGTGCGTGTTCACTTGGAACGCGCCGATGTGGTCAGCTGGAACACACCAAGAACACACAATCATTTACTTGAAGCACTCGTACGTGCATCCGCAGCATGCTGCCTGTGGCTTGATCAAGCGCACGCGCGCGCTCAAACACACGTTTCTGAGCCTCAAACACACATGCGTGCCCGCGGAATACACCGCGAATGACCAGGGAGCCGTGCCAGGCATCCAGGCTGGGGGACAACAAGAAGGAGACAAAGGGAGACAAATGAACCCGTCCGCCCGGAGAGCCGTGCCAGACATCCAAGCTGGGAGACAAACGAATCCGTCCACCCAGAGAGCCGTGACAGGCATCCAGGCTGGGAGACAACCGGGGCCAAATAAAGGGAGACAAAGGGAGACAAATGAATCTGTCAGGCAAATGAAGGGAGAGGAACCCGTCCGCCGGGAGAGCCGGGACAACCCCAGGTGCCAAGAGCACCACTGGGTATCTCGGCGTAGGTTCGTTGAACATCATCAAAGAATCGATAGACGATTTAACTCCAGCGTGATTCACGTTTGTTTCACCGGGGGGTTAACAGAGCCTTCTCGTAGCTGAAGCCGTGCACCGCAGCGCACCGCTCTCGTCAGCTCGGGACTCCAAATGCGAGCAAGGACAGAGAGAGGCCGCAACTGATAACGAGGCACTGAACGAACAGACAGGGTGTAGCCAACGATAGACAAGGAAGACGACCCACCACGAGCCCAAGCAAAATCGAAGTCCAGATGAAGGGCAGACAGAGGACCCTGTCCCCAACATCCACAAGACAAGGAATGACCGAAGCCAGGGCCGAAGCCGAAGGCAAACCAGACCCCGCCAAAAGGACAGAACCGCGGGAAGTGAAGGAAACCGCGGAGCGTGAGTGCCACACATCCAGGCTGGGAGACAACGGGAGACAAATGAATCCGTCCACCCAGAGGGGCATCCAGGCTGGGAGACAACGGGAGACAAACAAAGGGAGACAAAGGGAGACAAATGAATCCGTCCACCCAGAGAGGCATCCAGGCTGGGAGACAACGGGAGACAAATAAAGGGAGACAAAGGGAGACAAATCAATCCGTCCACACCAAGGGAGACAAGTGAATCCGTCCGCCTGGAGAGCCGTGACAGACATCCAGGCTGGGAGACAAGGGGAGCCAAATGAAGGGAGACAAAGGGAGACAAGTGAAACTGTCCACCCAAAGAGCCGTGCCAGGCATCCAGGCTGGGAGACAACATGAAGGGAGACAAGAGACAAGTGAATCTGTCCGCCTGGAGGGACATCCAGGCTGGGAGACAAATGAGACACAGCCAGAGAGACCAAATGAAGGGAGACAAAGGGAGACAAATGAACCCGTCCAGAGAGCCGTGCCAGGCATCCAGGCTGGGAGACAACGGGAGACAAATGAAGGGAGACAGAAACAAAGAGCCGTGAGAGAGCCGTGACAGGCGTCCAGGCTGGGAGACAACCGGGGCCAAATAAAGGGAGACAAAGGGAGACAAATGAATCCGTCAGGCAAATGGAGGGAGAGGGAGACAAATGAACCCGTCCGCCGGGAGAGCCGGGACAACCCCAGGTGCCAAGAGCACCACTGGGTATCTCAGCGTAAGGTTCGTTGAACATCCTCGAAGAATCGATAGAGGATTTAACTCCAGCGTGATTCACGTTTGTTTCACCGGGGGGTTAACAGAGCCTTCTCGTAGCTGAAGCCGTGCACCGCAGCGCACCGCTATCGTCAGCTCGGGACCGCAACTGATAACGAGGCACTGAACGAACAGACAGGGTGTAGCCAACGATAGACAAGGAAGACGACCCACCACGAGCCCAAGCGAAATCGAAGTCCAGATGAAGGGCAGACAGAGGAGGACCCTGTCCCCAACATCCACAAGACAAGGAATGACCGAAGCCAGGGCCAAAGCCGAAGGCAAACCAGACCCCGCCAAAAGGACAGAACCGCGGGAAGTGAAGGAAACCGCGGAGCGTGAGTGCCACACATCCAGGCTGGGAGACAACGGGAGACAAATGAATCCGTCCACCCAGAGAGCCGTGCCAGGCATCCAGGCTGGGAGACAACGGGAGACAAATAAAGGGAGACAAAGGGAAACAAATGAATCCGTCCACCCACAGAGATGGGAGACAAATGAAGGGGAACCAAGGGAGACAAGTGAATCCGTCCGCCTGGAGAGCCGTGACAGACATCCAGGCTGGGAGACAACAGGAGCCAAATGAAGGGAGACAAAGGGAGAAAAGTGAATCTGTCCACCAAAAAAACAGTGCCAGGCATCCAGGCTGGGAGACAACGGGAGACAAATGAAGGGAAACAAAGGGGTGCCAGACATCCTGGGAGACAAAGGTAGACAAATGAACCCGTCCACCCAGAGAGCCGCGCCAGGCATCCAGGCTGGGAGACAACGGGAGACAAATGAAGGGAGACAAAGGGAGACAAATGAACCCGTCCACCCAGAGAGCCGTGCCAGGCATCCAGGCTGGGAGACAACGGGAGAAATCAAGGGAGACAAAGGGAGACAAATGAACCCGTCCACCCAGAGAGCCGTGCCAGGCATCCAGGCTGGGAGAGAACGGGAGACAAATGAAGGGGACAAAGGGAGACACATGAACCCGTCCACCCAGAGAGCCGTGCCAGATCCAGGCTGGGAGACAACGGGCGACAAATGAAGGGAGACAAAGGGAGACAAGTGAATCTGTCCACCCAGGCATCCAGGCTGGGAGACAACGGGAGACAAATGAAGGGAGACAAAGGGAGACAAATGAACCCGAGCCGCGCCAGGCATCCAGGCTGGGAGACAAATGAAGGGAGACAAAGGGAGACAAATGAACCCGTCCACCCAGAGAGCCGTGCCAGGCATCCAGGCTGGGAGACAACGGGAGACAAATGACAAAGGGAGACAAATGAACCCGTCCACCCAGACTGGATCATCCAGGCTGGGAGACAACGGGAGACAAATGAAGGGAGACAAAGGGAGACAAGTGAACCCAGGGAGACAAACGAACGCGTCCACCCAGAGAGCCGTGCCAGGCATCCAGGCGGGGAGACAACGGGAGACAAATGAAGGGAGACACAGGGAGACAAATGAACCCGTCCACCCAGAGAGCTGTGCCAGGCATCCAGCCTAGGGCTTGGCAACAGGCGAGCCACCTTAAATGAATTTAGAACCCCTCACAGTAAACTGTTTGGGGAATGAAGGAGACAAAGGGAGACAAATGAACCCGTCCACCCAGAGAGCCGTGCCAGGCATCCAGGCTGGGAGACAACGGGAGACAAATGACAAAGGGGGACAAATGAACCCGTCCACCCAGACTGGATCATCCAGGCTGGGAGACAACGGGAGACAAATGAAGGGAGACAAAGGGAGACAAGTGAACCCAGGGAGACAAACGAACGCGTCCACCCAGAGAGCCGTGCCAGGCATCCAGGCGGGGAGACAACGGGAGACAAATGAAGGGAGACACAGGGAGACAAATGAACCCGTCCACCCAGAGAGCTGTGCCAGGCATCCAGGCTAGGGCTTGGCAACAGGCGAGCCACCTTAAATGAATTTAGAACCCCTCACAGTAAACTGTTTGGGGAAAAACAGTGCCAGGCATCCAGGCTGGGAGACAACGGGAGACAAATGAAGGGAAACAAAGGGGTGCCAGACATCCTGCATTCTGGGAGACAAAGGTAGACAAATGAACCCGTCCACCCAGAGAGCCGCGCCAGGCATCCAGGCTGGGAGACAACGGGAGACAAATGAAGGGAGACAAAGGGAGACAAATGAACCCGTCCACCCAGAGAGCCGTGCCAGGCATCCAGGCTGGGAGACAACGGGAGAAATCAAGGGAGACAAAGGGAGACAAATGAACCCGTCCACCCAGAGAGCCGTGCCAGGCATCCAGGCTGGGAGAGAACGGGAGACAAATGAAGGGGACAAAGGGAGACACATGAACCCGTCCACCCAGAGAGCCGTGCCAGATCCAGGCTGGGAGACAACGGGCGACAAATGAAGGGAGACAAAGGGAGACAAGTGAATCTGTCCACCCAGGCATCCAGGCTGGGAGACAACGGGAGACAAATGAAGGGAGACAAAGGGAGACAAATGAACCCGAGCCGCGCCAGGCATCCAGGCTGGGAGACAAATGAAGGGAGACAAAGGGAGACAAATGAACCCGTCCACCCAGAGAGCCGTGCCAGGCATCCAGGCTGGGAGACAACGGGAGACAAATGACAAAGGGAGACAAATGAACCCGTCCACCCAGACTGGATCATCCAGGCTGGGAGACAACGGGAGACAAATGAAGGGAGACAAAGGGAGACAAGTGAACCCAGGGAGACAAACGAACGCGTCCACCCAGAGAGCCGTGCCAGGCATTCAGGCGGGGAGACAACGGGAGACAAATGAAGGGAGACACAGGGAGACAAATGAACCCGTCCACCCAGAGAGCTGTGCCAGGCATCCAGGCTAGGGCTTGGCAACAGGCGAGCCACCTTAAATGAATTTAGAACCCCTCACAGTAAACTGTTTGGGGAAAAACAGGCAACTGGAGGTTTGGGCGCTGTGAGACCCCGCCGGCGCGGCGATTTGACCTTTTTCTCTCAGCCCAAGCCGGCAGCAGTTGCCACGGAGCAGCTGCTAAGCAGCAGGTTGCGCCACTTCACCTGGAAGTCTCAGCCCCGGTAGAAACGAAAAGGTGCAAAAAGGGACCCCATGGTGGGGTTGACCCTTCTAGACTTCCATTTGCAGTAGAGTCCCCTGCAAAAAATATTCATATTTCCAGTAGTGATAGATTCCAACTGGTAGAACCGAAGCAAGAAGGGACCCTGACCATGCTAGACTCAGTTGCCCAAAAGGACCTGCAAATAAAAGGCGATCACCTTTCGGGGTCATCACTCAAAGTTTAAGACGTGGACCAAATCACAGAAACCCAAAGGTCAAGAGGTCGGCTTTGGGCAAGTGCGTAGAGCATGGCTACCCAAAGGGGAGACGGGTTCCAAACAGTTCTTCCATCGTTGGCGTCCGGGTCCCAAACATGTGGCCGGTCCGGCAGCCGAGAAAACGCACACAACGCAGGGCCTCTAAAGCGTCGAAGCTTTCAAACAAAAGTGTACTTCTCACAATCTGGGCTGCTCAAAAACAATGGTTGCCCAATCCTAATCCATAATCCCTGACCCACCAAGTCGGTTGATCAATCCGCCGTCATTCTTGGTTCTTTTCCGCACGGCCTCTTGGGGCTATGACTGGGGGAACTAGTTCCCTAACCAGGGCTCCCCTACCAATTCACATGGAACTCAAAACAGGGGTCCGATTCCCGAAAGGAGATTCCGAGATTCCTCTAGAGTACATGCACATCTAGGGGTACCTTCCCCACTCTTTCCAGGGATCATTTCTTTTCAAAAAACCTCCAGACACCCAGGCAAAGCGGCAGGTTCTTGAAAGAACGATGATCGAAAAGAATGGGGAATCAACCCCTGGAGTCGAACATCCAAGTTGGGTTCTTACCCAACTGAAAAAGCCTTCCGCGCTCTCCGACCTCCAGCCGTCGGCCATCATCTAAGACGACCACATAGCTCCAGGGGCGAGTGCCTAGTGCGGGAGCTGTTTCCCAGAAATCACCGGACTTCTCCCTGAAGTTGGCCGCGGGTCAAACATATGTAACATAGGTACACAAACTGGCAGGTAAACAGAAACAAGGACTAACACCTGTGGTCTTTTTCCGGTGGTCTATTTTTGGCCCATACCCAGTGGCAATTTGACCGGCGGTGTCCAAAGACATTCCTTTGAGCCTCTCCTCGAGCTCCGAAAGGCACCCCGCACAGCTCCGCAAAGGCTCCCTTCCATTGCAGGCAGACCCCGAAAATTGCGAGGGTTCCTTTCGTTTCCCTTGTGAAAACAACAGAGGGTACCCTCAAGAAGTCATGTCCGTGTTTGTCCTTTGCGTGAGTTGGCCGCCATCCTGAGAAACATGGGTAAAGGTAAGGTATGACTGGTGTACCAGGAACATATCTCGTGCATTTCCCACACCAGACTACATAAACGGCAGAGGCTGTGCTGGGAGGTTTTTTTTGCCCCAACCCCAACTGGCAAGCCCTAGAAGCCTCCTTCCCAGCGGAAATGAGATCATGAACGCCGTTGGGGCCGCATCCCCCTTGTGCTCAGGGCAAATTCATAAGGCTAAGCTCGTTGTACTGCCAGATCGCAATCTTCTTGCCCAAATACGTTTCTTCTCGTGGGCGGCTTTGGGCATTTTTGCGGGAGTCCTCAAAGGGCCCAGCCGCCGAATCTGCCAAGCTGCCCGGCGCTTCTACAGTAGCTGGCAGCCCGTTCAGGCTGCTGTCTGCCTCCGGATCCGGGAAAGGAGCACAACATACACAACACTCAGAAGAAAAGGCCTTGCAGCAATGTTCAATGCATTGAGTCTCCAAACCTGCTCGCATGGCGATGGCATCTGGCAGTCGTTAACAAGCAGGCGGCAAGCAATTTGAATCATGTTGACCCCATATTAATCAACACCAGATGATTAACAGGGAGATGTCCCGGAATTATTGAAGGGATGCTTGCTTTTTTGCCCTGTGCCGTCGGAAGGTGCGGGTTGCCACACCTGGAGTCTCCATGACCTTAAAAAATGAGTCAATGACCCCAGTATTTTGGGTAATGACCCCCATTTTTTCAGGGTCGTGGAGACTCCAGGCAGTTACCAAGGTGGGCTGAAATTCAAGCTGGCGGAAAACAAACAGCTTGCTCTGCTTGCTTGCCGTGCTTCAAGGGAAAAGACACCTCCAGAAGTCAGAAGTCCAACATCTGCCCCCGAAGTTCGAGAAAGGCCTGTGCACAAACATGTCAGAACTTCGGTTTCAGGCACCCTGCTTTGGGCTTCCCTGAGTTTCGCGTTTGCGAGGTGTTTGGAGGCATTCCAGATTCCGGCTGGCCATATCCATCTGGCCAAGCTGCGATATCAGCTTCCCCTACCAGTCAGCCCTCCTCCGAGCCCAGTTCTGCTGCAAAAAACGGGCACCCCACGATAGGTGGTTGTTTGGTGGTGGTTCGGGGCACCTTTCCCATTTGGCTTCAAAAGCACCATTCAAATCCCCAGACCAATCCAAGCCACACATTTCCACAAGGTGAACCCATTCCATCCATTTGTTCTTCTCCCCCCAAATCGGCCAGTTCTTCTTCTTCTTGTCCCTCTTCTTTGGCGCATGGATCCATTCCCTCCAGGGCTGTGGGAAATGGACTCCACCTCTGTGATACAACAAAAAGGGCCTCCCAAAGACTAACCCCCCATAAAACTAAGGGATTCCAAGAGTAGCACGGAAGTGGTTGGATAAAAAAAAAATCCGAGTGACCCCACTGAAAATCCATAAGCCCCGAGTGATCAACCACCTGAAAGTCCCACAGCCCCATGGGCCTCCAGGTCCCGCATCCGCACGCCGTCCCCGACCTGGAAGTTTCTGCGCGCCAGGTGCTCCGGCCACAGCCACACGCGGTCCAGCACCGGCCCCCCCGGCAGCAGGGAGAGGACATCCACCACCAGGCCCCCCGTCTGCTCGCTGAAGCCCAGGCCTCGCTCCTACGGACGCGCTTGAAGGCGAAACCCTCCAAGGACGACTCAAAGGCAAGCCCAAGAAGGGGTACCCTAACCCTCACTAACGTGGGCACCTGACAGGGGGTTCCCCTGTTTGCCCTTCAAAGGTCAAGGGGAACCATCCCATCTACCGAGGTCCTCCAGAGATTGAGAGGTTAGAATAAGGGTACCAACATTCTTCTGTAGTCGATTTTAGTAGGGGAACCCTCCCCAAAAAAGGGTCAAAGGGCACTACTGGGGACCCAGACTTTCTGCGACCCTGCTTCAATGATTCAAGTAGGTCACACATCTGTTCTGAGAGCCCTTTGATCGCTTGGGTTACTGCTCCAAGCCCGGGCATCAAGCACAAACCCACCCAAACCCCCCAACAAAAAATAGTCGGCTTCCCTCTAGTTGATGGTTTGGATTGGCGGTTTGGAGGTTAGGTGGTTTCCCATTTGCCATCCTCAAGAACCAGGGGCTCAAATAATAAGAAAAGTCCAAACCACCAATTTAGGGTGACCTTAAACAGGGCCCCCGCAGACAAACGGTCCCCTTTGTAGGAACCTGTTGTGTGGGCGTGGCTCCAAACTTAACCGCAGGGGTTGTTTTTAGTCTTGACCAAGGTGCGAGGCTGGGCACCTTCTTGTGAGCCACAGCCTCCATTTGCTTTTTCGTTCCCAGGGAAAAAAGAGAAACTATCTCCATTAGTCCTAGATTCCCAGTATAGAGGTTGGCATAAGGGTACCGTCTTTCTTCTCTAGTCGATTTTAGTAGGGGAACCCTCCCAACTAAAAAAGGGGTGAGAAAGGGCACTGGGGGACCGACAAAACCAACTGGGATCCGGCCTCCTCCGTGAGGCTGGAGATCACCCCCGCGCGGCCCTCCAAACCCTCGTGCTCGCTGCCGGGCTCAAACTCCGCAGCCAGGGTGACCTGAGCCCCGACTCGCCGGGCGCCGACCAGGGGATGGTAAACGCCCTCCCACCGACTGAAGCTAATTCCAGATGAATGAACCCCTGGTTGATTCATGGGAGGTGTCCCCTTGTAGTGGGGATCTTTTGCAGGGAACAGCCCCCTAATAATGGGACCGGTTTATTAATCCTGGGTCAACATTAAAGTGGCATCGTTCGGTGTTGGGGGGGGGGGGGCCTGGTTTGAATCATTTTCCTGTTCAAGGGAAGATTTCCCTGTCAGACGTTCACCTTACTTGGTGGGAGGGCACCTGTCCACGTTGCAATGGAAATAACGAGACAGTCCATTGAAAGTCTTCCAGGACCCGGGTGGTCTATCCGAGCGTTCACAGGGATTCGATTCATCCATCACTGGTGAGAAATGGATTTTGTCCACAGCATCACCCAAAAATTTGGACTCTGCAGCAAACAAGACCTGGGTCAGTGGTCAGCTTCAGAGGACCAACTGGAACAGGGTTCCTTGGACAAACATATTTGGATCGTCTAAATCAGCTGGTAAACCAACTTTTGGGCCTACCCAAGACAAACGGTGAAAACGGCTTTCTGACGCAGGGTTGGGCGACGGCTGAGACAAGGCCGGTTTTCCGTAAGGGAAACCAAAGAAATCTGTTCAGCCAATAATGGCTTAAAACATACTTCCATCCTGAAATAAAGTAAAGGACTAAGAAAGGAAACATCTGCGAGACCGCAAGGCCTTTGTCGGACCGCTAAATGAACCAACGGACTTGAGGCAAAATATCATGCGAGTTTCGGCCAAGTACTCGGGTGTTAAGTGCGGCTGTGGGGTGAAAAAAAGCCTTCGTCAATTCACACTAAATGCCTCAGGGTTGGTCAAGACCAAACTGCAGTTACAGCTCACATACATGGAACCTCGCGATAATCATGCGTTTCTGTCCCCACGACAATGTTCAAAGACATATGCTTTGCACCCATCCAAATTGGGTAAGCACTGTTGCAACCAAGTCCAGGATGAACACTGCCGGCAACGAACAAAGGAGCAAGCATTCAAGATCTGAAAACACATGTGGCCTCTGCAAGCCAAGCGGTCCACTCTCACTGGATCGGGCTGCACAAGTTTGCCTGGTTTAGCAAATTATGTGTTTGTACGAAGACACGCTTTTCAAAGTGACGGCATCAGTTTTTGTGAAATCCCCAAAACTCACAAAACTCGGAGTAGTGCTTTCTGATGCATGAATTTCCACATTCTGAGGGCAATCCTTGCGCGGAGTTTACAATGAGTTGTCCATGTCTGGCATGGGCAGGTCTGGAGCAATTCCCGTGCGGCCTCCAGGCCTGCCTTTGGAAGCGTGTTCAAGAAGACGAAACCTTGCCTTCCAGTCAAGCTTGCAACAAAATAAAAACAACGAAGAACGCCATTGTTCCCTTCATCTCCATATAGGATGAGCCAGAAATACATGAGGAGGCATATATCACTCGAAAAAGAAAAAAAAACCGACTTGCAGCCAGCGCCAGGGTGCGGCGTCCCCCGGCTTGTGCCGAGGGAAGATGAGGTTCTTCGGATGCACCGCGAGCCTCGTGGAGTCCTCGACTCCCTCCCCCAGCTCGACGATGCGCCGGCCAGGGTGTTGATCCCGCTCGGCGGGGCTGGCGTCGGCCTTGCTGCTCGCTGGAGGCGGGCGATGGTCGTGGTCGTGGTGGTGGTGGTGACGTTTGGAGCCAAAAACTGCTACACCCTCCAAGGTATATGATGACTGTCTTTGCATCATTGGATGGTTGAAGGGAGCTTCAAGAAACAATCACACAGTCAGTTCTCAGGTACACCCAGGCAAGTACTTTCCCAGCTTTAGCCACTTTTTTTGGGCAGTCCATGTTAGTGGCAAATGAAAAAGATTGGGTACAATCCACCGAGGAAGTGAGGTGTTTTCCCTGAGGGCAGGCCTTTTCAGGTTGGCTCAAAAGGGATATGTCTCCAGAAAACCCGCCATTTTACAGGTACCTGCAAGGGTCCTGGAGGATACCAAGCGCCAGTCAAATGAGCTGCAGATGGAGGTGGATCTGTTGGGTTTGGACCAGGTGGTGCAGAAACCCGGGTGGCAAGGCACTTCCTTTGCACGAGAACTGACTGTGTCTCTGACAGTTGGCTAAAGTCCAGAAACGCAGGAAGACACAAAGCCAAACTAGGACCTCCAGTAGAGAGCTTAGAATAATTTCTGAATCGTCTAGTTTAGTAGGGGAACCCTGCCAATCAAGAAAGGGGAGAGAAAAGGGCACCTAGCTGGGGGAGCCAGACTTTCTGCTTCGCACGCCCGACGCAGAATGCCGCAAGTCTCAAAGAAACACCAAACACTTCCTGAGCTTGGCCAACCATACCTAGTCTTTTCAAATACCACTTTCATCTTCCCAAAAGGTTGCTCAAGTCCAGAGACTCGGAAGACACAAAGCCAAGGGGAGCCCTGAGATCTCGGCCAGCTCGCCCACCAGGCCATTGTAGGCTGCTGCGCTGAGGCCCCTCAGCTCCACCAGCGCGCCCGCAGGAAGCTGCGCCACCTGGGGTACTCAACTCCCACATGTGGGCGAGCCCTGTGTGAATTGGGACGCAAACATGTCTGAAGTGAACACATTTCAGCTGTTCAGAAGCACCGCTTTTGTCCCCTCTGTTTGGTGAAGTGGAATCACCCCACCAACGATAAGAGCTTCCTTGTTCTATCCGAGTTCCTTGGCAACTGGATTACCAGTCGCAGAACCCGTTTCGGGGTGATGTGTTGTTGGGTGGGTTTTACCCTGGGATCTCATTATGTTTGAACTGTTTCTGGTTCTCAAAATCGGAGACTTGTGTTGTGTTTTTCCAACCCCCGTGATTTTACAGATCATTGGGCCAGGGCCCAAAGGGAAGCCGCGCATGGTGTCTGAAATATTTCGGTGACCCATCCCAAATCCAAATCGGGCGGTGTCCCTTCTCGGTTTTCCGCAATACAGGGGTCCTATATTTCTCTTCTTGGCGGCTTTAAACACCGCCTTCTTGCACTGATTGTTGTAGGTCAGGTTGCAGCGCTCATTCAAGTACTGGAAACATTGTCGCAAACAATCAGCCTCCCCCTGAATTGGATTGGTGGTTTGGTGGCTAGGGACTGCTTTCCCATTTACCCTCAAGCCAATCCAAGCCACCAACGAAGGGTTGCCTGAAACAACTGGCTGTGGGTCAAAACCAATGGGATCCCATTTTGGTTGGTAGGTGAATTCACCACCCATTTTAGGCTTCCTATTTTAGTGGTTGGATTGAATCGGATGTTCACTGGGGGCTGACCGATTTGGAGTTCGACCCATAGCCAGCGCTGCGCCTGGCGCCGCTCCAGGACCTCGCTGCCGAAGTTGCGCAGCTGCTGGAAAAGTGGGGACTGCTGCCTCGGGTCAAAATAGGAACCGGTACCCAAAACGGGGGTCTTGGTAAATGGAACCAAGGGCTAAAAAACCTGCGGTCCATATCCCGATGGCTCAATTTTGACTCATACCCAAATTGTGCAACCCCAAGAATCTTGCGACCTCAAGTAGGGATTTCTTTCTTGAGGTCTAAGCCTTCCAATGGAAGTGGCCCCTCCAACGGATGACCTGAACTCTGGTGGTTGTGGCACCGAGAATTTAATGCAATCTGGCCAAATCACCCAAAATCCCCACTTGAAATGATTCGAAAGAAAAAGGACCTGCATGACGCTCGCTTTACCCCCAAATCAGTGAGCTCGCCACAAAATAAGCGGCACCATGGTTATGACTGAGGCAACTGAGGGATGATTCCCAGGAGTCATGGCAACAATCTACTTACTGAGCGGGTTAAACATCCGCTATTCAAAGTGGCACTGTGCGTCACTGAGTGGCCAACTATGGCCATGATCAACCATATAAGTCGTCTAAAGTGGGTCACAACCAAGGTTAGCCGGAAGGTTTGCCGGCTAGCATGATAATTGCAGCACCCTGCCCATCCCTCCCCCCATTCCCGGCGGAGTTCGATGTTGCTCGGGCGGGCACAGCCTCGCCTTTGGAACATGCGGGGCTGCTCGAAAGCAAGAGAAAGTGCTCCGCTTCAAGGTGAACCTGTTGGGTGCCCCAAGCTCCCAAAAGCCTGGCGTCCACATTCAGCCCTAGACCAGCTAGGACTGTGTCAAGAACAAGGATACAACATGCTACCACATGTGAACCCAGCCCGGTTGGTGAAGACCAGAAGGCCAACAGCAGCCACAGAAAACCTCGCGCTGGTCCAAGTGCTTGGCACCCATCCGTGGGCAGCTTGACGAGCTTCTTCCAGCCGTTGCACTAGCTGCTAAACAGGTAGCCCCATCTTGTTTGCCCTCCGTCCCCTCACTAAAACACCAGGACTCGCAAAACCATTTGCATCGCCGGTAAGATTTTGGGCAACCCAAAAGCAACTTTTCAGGATGCAGTTGGGCTAGTTGATAAACATAATGCCCAAAACACCAAACCCTGTTGCCGGCTGAGCCTTGTAAACCTTGTAAAGCAAGTGGTGTTTGAGGAACCCTGTCTAAGCTACCATCATTCCAATCATAGAGATGGATGAGGCTCCCCAAGAGGAAAGCTTCTTCCCACATCTGCCTGCCCAGTTGGAGGGAGCTTAGACATTCTCCAAACAACATGCTCGTGTGTTTTTCCTTTTGAATGTTCGGGGCCCCGAAGGGAAACACCTATGGGTTCGTTTAAACGAATCACCTTCCGCGTTCCTTAAGGGGGTATATAGGGAACCCTGAGGTTGGCCTCTTTACTCATGTCACCTCCAAACCTACATGTGCCAGCTGCGTTGCCCAAATGACTAGAAAAAGAAGAAAACACAAGTTGTCCAAAGCTTGCTTCGCTCTGGGCAAGTGTGTCTGTGTAAGGGGAGTCAACAGGCGCAAGCCCTGCATCCCCTTCATCTGAGGCGCATCATCTCCGCCAGTCGCTGCGTCTTGTCGGGACCCTGCGTCCATTGAAAGACCGCCGCGGGATCCGTCAGGAACTGGGCCTGTGGATTTCCGTGCGAAGTGGGCGGCAGGGGGCGGTTTTGGGGTAGGGTTCCGGGGTAGAAGGGTCCGGGCCTGGGGAAACCGCCTGGGCTTCATGGTGGCTGGATCAGTTGCGGTTCTTTCCCGCCAGCTTGGCGACCCAGGCCCCAGGCTGATCTGTTGGGGGAGCCAAGAGGAGCTAGGCTTCAAGGGAAACCCTTCCCAACAACAAAGACAAGAAGGATACCCCCTTTTTTTGGTCAATTCAAAGAGGACACCCTCTTCCTTCCAAACAAAAGAGGAACTTCAAGGGGAATTTTGTTTGGTTGACTTTGAAGAAAGAACTAAATAATAGTAAACAGGTCTCCCCCCCCCCACCCCAACACAATTACCCCCCCCCCCTCCAGGCTCCCCCCTCTCCACCCCAAAGAAGGGCTAGACTAATCCTTTTTGCCGGTTTTTAGGGAACCCCTTCCCGTTCCCCAGGCTCAGCGGTCGGCCCTGGGCTCCCCGGGCCAAGGGGTCAGCGTTTTCAGCGCCGCTTTGGGCGGCCATGAGCTCTTGGAAGGTCGCGTTGGACTCCTCGTCTCGCAAAACGGGCGGGTCTCGGTTGCGAATCTGTGGCTTGAAGCCCCTGCAGGATACGAACAAAAAATGGGCCAAAAAGGACTACCTGGAGTCTCCATGACCCTTTGAAAATGGGTCAATGACCCCACTATTTTGGGTAACGACCCCATTTTTTAAGTGTCATGGAGACCCCAGGTACCAAAAAGGGGCCAACCAGGGGAAGAACCGGTGAAATCCGCAAAAGCGCATCCAAGCGAGGATGGACCGAGTGATCCCTTGACCCGACACGACAAAAACATCCACCGGAAGTTCCACCGGACATCGGCCATCCAAGTCCACCAATCTTTTTCGCGGTGGTTCCCCTTGACAAATCAAGACAGTATTGCTGACTCGCTCTCCTTGAGGATCTTCTTGTCCTGCAGCATCTCTTTGAGGATCTCTTGCAGGTCCTTTGCTCCCTCTGGCCTGGCAGTAAGCCATCCCTTCTTCTTTCCATTCCAATGGTCCTTGCCCAACCAGTCCTTTCTTATTCACTCATGTCGGACGGCCATGGGAAACAAGCTGGGAGGCCTCTGGCCGGTGGGTCGTTTTGCGGTAGATGTTGAAAACCATTTCAGCAACCCGGAGCAAGTGAACATGGGCTGGAGCAGCCTGCACACGCGGTCCGGCGCAAGCAAACAAAACAGGCCATCTTTGGGAACCTGTCTAGGCCACGTTCCCTGAGCCAGGGTGGTCACTTTTGGAAGGAAACACCTGCCTAGCACTCAGGACGGGTTTATGAATCCGGGGTCAACAGTGTAATATCCGGGGCCAGCAGTATTCCATCTTTGGTAACATCACCGATTGGTTGCCATTTGAAGGTGAGTTTTCTTGTTGGGGTGGTGTTTAAGGGGGAAAGGGGTGTATGGAGGGTACCCTTTTTGGTTGGTTTCAAAGGGACTCCAACAGGACACCAACAATCTTTGGTGGTCTCCTAAACTTCCGTTTGCTTGAGAGCCCTGGAGAAATAAACAATATTTACTCTAGTGACACATTCCCTTTAAACACCAAGACAAGAAACAAACAAAAACAATCTTAGCCAATGGAAATAAAATCGCACGCCTGGAGTCTCCATGACCCTTTAAAAATGGGTCACTGCCCCCATTATTTTGGGTAACAACCCACCATTTTCATGGGCCATGGAGACTCCAGGCACCCACCTGACCAACACATCCAGGCACCCCCCGCTAAAAATGACTAACTCTTAGCGAATTAATTGGAAACTACCACTAAACACCAAAAGAAAATCCAAAAAGCCAAGGAACCGGATGGCCTTCGGCTTCCCCACCAAGAAAACACCTGACCAACCCATCACCCTGCGCCTCTCCAGGAGCTCCCGGAAATCCTCCTCACTCAGCTGCCGGCCCCGCAGCGCGCATCGCCGTCGTCGTCCGCGCGGGGCGAGGCGAACGAAGCTCTCGCTGAGGCAAGCGACCAGCAACGCAACGAGAACGAGACGCGTCGAGGCCATGGCGCTGGGAGCTGCAAATTTGGTGTTGCTTCCGTGTTTGTGGTCTTTGTGGCAGGCGTGCCCTGTTTTCATCTTGGTTGCTCAAGGGAAACCAAAGGAAAAACAACAGTTAACATGCAGGTGTATTCGTATCCTTTTTCATCTGGGTTGCTCAAGGGAAACCAAAGAAAAAAAGAAAACACATTGTGTCCATTTCTTGGTGTCAGGGGAAGCCAAAAGAAATAAACACAACATTGCTGGGGCCTGATTTTGACACATATTTCAAATTGGATATGGCCCATCCAAAGAGTGTTCAAACTCTGTGTGTGTGTGCGTGTGTTTTTGTGTCTGTGTGTCTGTGTTTGTGCTTTTTGAGGGACAACCTTTTCAGCTTGCTTTGATGGGAAGCAGAAAGGACAACACCTATCTTGGGGCTGGCATGTACCAAGTTCAGAGCGGCGGTGCGGTGGGCTTGCGCATGGCTCAGTTGAAGCAACACAGCGCAGCGCCCTGTCCCCAGTCACTCACTGAAAGTTGGGCAGAAGCGTGTTTGCAAATTCAGTTTTCGTCAAAGTGCCACAAAATGAAAACAACATGACCAGCAAAAGCAACTTTGAGTTTAGCCAGGATTGCTTGTTTTGAGTTCAACAGCTGCGAGGAGGAATGGTCGTCTCTTCTGCATTCTTCCCATTCTCCGCCCAACTCTGCCAACTAATCGCCAACCGTGATGCCAAAGAAATGGAGCACTAGCCATCGGAGGCATAGGCGGCCTTTTGGAATAATAGATGGCCCTGGCAAATGGAACAAAACCCATCTAAACCAGACTAACCTAACTAACCTAACTCACCTAAACTAACCTAAACTAACCTAAACTAACCTAACCTAAACTAACCTAACCTAACCAAACTCACCCAAAAAGGACGCCTATCCGGCCGCCTGGAGCCCTGCCTTTTCGGATGGCTACTTGATGGCTCCGGGCGCCAGGCCCAAGTGATGGGCTGCGGCCGCAGAGTCTCCACAAAGCCTCAGGCACGAGGAGCCCTGAGGTTCTTCCCTCTGCAGCTTAGCTAGGCTGGAATTGGGACCCCAGCAAAATATATATATATATATATATTATATATATATATATATATATATTTTTGCATGGCTAGTGGAAACAAAGGGACCCCCAAAAAAACAAAAAAGCAAAAAGGGGAGCCAATTCTGGGGAAGTTAGATGTCCACTCAAGCCCATCCAAACCACCAATTCGGGGTACCTGGAGTCTCCATGACCCTTGAAAAATGGGGTCATTACCCAAAATGATGGGGTCATTGACCCATTTTTAAAGGGTCGTGAGACTCCAGGTGCACACGCCCAAGTGAATTCCATGGCTCAACCTCTTGCGCTGGCCGGCAGGCGCCGAACGTGCGAACACATGCGCAGCGGAGTTGTGTCCGGCGGTAAGAAATCTGCTAGTAGGTTGAACTTCTGCCCCGAGCCAAGAAACAAGAACAAACACAACGACAACAACACACACTTTCAAAGTCGCAAAATCCAACCAGGAGTTCAAGCAGGCCATGATGAGGGTTTAGAACTCATGGAGACTTGGAACACATCGGCCGTACCACAGATTGAACATGGAGATTGAAAGCAAAAAGCGCACTCAGCCATTCTTGCAAAATTAGGCCGGGTTGAGCAACATGCCACCCTTCCTGCTGCTTAATACAGGAACTAGCTGCGATCTGCCATCAGCTTACTTACCTTTTCTTTAGCGGTTGAACAGTCCAAACACCTAGCATGTTTGCACCTTTGTGCACGACTCTGAGGGCGTCAGTGTCTCCAGGAAGCCGTCGAAACCCATGTGCCCCTCAAACAGCTCCGATTTTCGGTGGGTTGCCCAGAGCCCCCGCCCCCTCCCCCCTTTTCCAAGAAAAACTCGGGCCTTGTTGGAGTTAATTCATTGCTTCAGTTGCTGGGGACCAACGTCGCGCTCTGTGGACGACAGCCAACTCAGGGCGCCCGGCGGCCGAGCGCTCGTGCAGCGTGGGGGTTGTGGGCGCCATCCACCAGCAAACGCAGGTCATGGGTCTCCACCCACTCCAGGCGACCCGGCCTGGACCGCGGCAATATCCGTGTCTGTTTTGATTGGCGTATCACTTTGGGGTTGGGTGGGGAAAACTGGAGTTCCCGTCCACCGGAAGCAAAGAGATGCACAGGGAAAACACTGGGCATCCAAACCGCCAAGGAATCGAATCCTCAGCTGGTCTCTGGTCAAGTCTTGGCATGGCCCCAGCTTCCTTTAAGGGACCCTGAAGCATGTTTTGTGGTTTCCCTTTCAACCCCTAAAGACAACTTTCTCTACAAGATACTCGTTGGCGGGTTCCATGTTGGTGGGTGGGAGGGTCTCAAACATGATAAAGTTAGTCATTGGGGGAATTCATTGAAGATGCCCTCAAACTCAGCATCTGAAATCCAAATGGTCGCCGTGGGAAGCTTGACAGGGCTCACATGTAGTTGGTTCGGGACCCCCCCTGGCTTTCCTGACGAGCCCGCCCAAAAAAAGGTACCTGCGAAGCAAGACATCACATGTAGACAAACAGGAATGACCATAGAAGCATCAGGGGGTTCCACACCTGAACCCTTAAGAATGGAAGGTACAATTGACCAAGGCCTTCTGACACAAGGGAAGCCTTTGTTATTATTCTGTGAGTGTGTTGTTTTTAGGGGTCTTTTTCAGCTGGCCTTTCGGGGAACACCAACTCTTTCCAATAAAGAGGATTTTGGAAACCGTCCGCTTAAGGTTCTTCTCTCCACTTCCACAGGTGGAACGAGGGCATTCTTCTCCCCAACGGTCCCCCTGTCACCCTGTCCGGCGGGGAACCAACAAAAAGCCGCCAACGCATGCATGGGGCTTTTTTTCCATCCCTGAGCCCACTGCCATCTGGTTGCGGCGATGCCTTCGGTGATTGTGCCTCAATTGGGGCTCGCGGCGAGTGGCTCGCCTCAATCCATCACCAAAGCCTTCGATTTTCCCGAGCCCAAACCGCGGAAAGCTAAGACCTGCAGACCTTCCCCGCAAGTCTGCCGGTGCTTCCTTCCCACTATAGTTCCCATGCCGATGCGCTACAACTTTCCGTCAAGACTGAAACGCTCGGAGGCATATATTGAAAGCTGGGGACTGACTGGCCACGGACGGAAACTTTTACATGCGCTCATACTGTGGATGGTTGCGAAATCCCTTGAAGCACCACCTAAGCAGCCGTGGTTTTTCGCCATGACGCTTGGTGGTTCTTACGTTGGGGACACCGACTCCAAGTCCGTGGGGTTTCTGAACGGCTGGCCGAAATTGCCAAATTTCGCGTAAGTGCCCGACTCCAGCTGGCTGGGAGGAACTGCTTTAAAGTTGTAGCTCCCTTGACTGGCAGAAACAACACGATCCGATGAGTGGATTGCCGGACAAAAGCTGGGCTGCTCAAACAAAAACGCTGGGTTGGCCAATCCTTTCTTTCTGATCCCTATAGGGAAGCCACTGCAAAGGGGATCGGTTCCTTGCGTACCCAAGGGAAGGACATGGACACGAGCAACACAAAACAAGTAGCAAGCGCCCAGAACACCTGGACATCAACAAAAGGTTTACGTGCTGCACCTAGAAATGGACCTTGGGCTGCGACGTCCAGTCTTCCATCAAGTCGAACCGCAGTGAGCGCGACTAAGCGCAAAACCTAAACCCAAGCCCAGCATACTAACTTCTTATTGCGCCTGAGCCATGTCCTCTTGCGAAAATGGATGGCCCTGGTAGAGTCTGAAACTGGGTCAGCTAGGCCATCTCTTTTCTACCATCAAAAAGGACACCTACGGCCTGAGCCCCTTTGTGATCGTCACCGGCAATCCCAACCTTCCGAGCAAAGGCCGGCACCGTCATCCAGCACATCCTGCAGCGCTCCGCGGCTACCTCAGAGGCCCAGGATCGAAAGAGAAAAAACAACATGAGGTAACCACAAAAGCATCGAAACCCGCAGGAAATTCTACAGGAAGTTAGCCAAATACCCAAAAAATCAGGGGTTCCTATAGAATTTCCTGTAGATTGTTTCTTAGACAAAAGAAAGCTCCTATTTATAAACAGACGCCCCCAATTGCCCCCAATCAAAAGACTTTCCAGCCGACCCCCTCCGCCCCTTGGACCCGTTGGGAGAATTGATGAACCCAACCCATGCAAACCTTGCTCTGGCAAACAAGGATGCCTACTAATACATCACTCAGCCCAACCCAACGAAACCTAGGTCCTCCAGTGGAGAGGTTAGAATAAGGGTACCCCTTTTTTCTGTAGTCTATTTTAGTAGGGGAACCCTTTCCCACAAAAGGGTAAAAGGGCACTACTGGCAGACCTGGAAACAGTATTCAATACGTGTGCGCGTGTGTTGCACAATGGGAGCATTGGACCTAAGCCTCCGCCAGAGAGCTCTCATAGGATTCCTCACGTTCCCAACGTACCAACTTGAGACCCCAATGCTGAGACCAACCTACAGGTTCAGATGCTTCAAAGTGCCACATGTATGCTCGGGACACTGGCCCATTTTGGTGGCGCTCCTGTTTTGAGCCAAGCCCTTGGGCATGTGTCAGAAAATCCCCTAAGAATTGCGGTTTTGCTTGTGGTGTCCCTGTAAGCTCAGTCAGGTGAAAGGGGACCGATTGCACCTTTTGTGGTTTCATAACTTGTGATACAGCTTAGTGTGTGCGCTTTCCTCTGGAATCCCAAGGCTAGGCACAAGCGGGGTGGATAGTTGGCCCTAATGTTCTTTTGGATTCCCTAAGATTCCTTGGGGTTTTCCAGGGTTCCTTGAAGTTTTCTAGGGTTGTCGAACCCCCCTTGGACCCCCCTTGTTCAAGGAATCCCTGCAATCTGGGGTGTAAAGGGACACCAAAAGGGGAACGGAAACTGGGCCGCCCTCAAATCCCCCGCCAAAAGTTTAACTTTTAGTGGGTTAAATTCGGAGACTACCACTAAACACTAAAAGGATCTAAAAAGCAAAGGAACCGGATGGCAGGCAGGGCTGTGGGGAATGACCACT